GCGCCGCCGCGCCGCCGCCGCCCGCCGCCCCGCGCCCGCGCCCACGCTGCCCCTCTCGCACATGGCTCACGCCCACGCGCGGGACCCTTAACCTTTCTTTCTCTTTTCTGTTACACTTTCTTTCTTCGACGTAACCTGAGGATCAGATGAGTAGCTTTGCCGATTTGAGCGAAGGCCGACAGGTTTGACCATCAATCAATGCAAAATCGGCATGAGATTTTATCTGCCAATACCATCAACTGGATTCATCAGTCAGAATTGGTGATAAAGTTTTCGAGAATTGTAGCTCGCTTGCACTGTGAATGACTGCATTTTGTGTTTTGCCGTGTTGTTATGGCAGAAATTATGTCTCAAGTTCGTTTTCTTGACCCAGACCAGAATAGTTATCTACTGAACCATTATCTACTGAAAATAAAAACAAAAATAATATGTACAAAAACTTTTCCAGCACTTATTACCTCGCAATTAGGCACACTGTTTTGGAGGGGTTAAAGTTCTCTATTTGTATCACTAAGATTGCACAAAACTTCCACAGACTGTTTGCCGCTATGATGAGATCGTTTCTGTTCTTGGTTCAGTAGAACGTTACACATCCTCTTCAATGATTCAAAACTCAAAGATTCTCATTCTCTACAAGTGATTGGGCAATGTCAACTTCAAGTAAATCACTTTTATTGCCGTGTTTTATTTCACTGGAACACTATTATTATGTGTCAGATATGTGTCACACGTTTCAACCGCGTCCGAGAACGACAACGTATCACTGCCTCTCGTAGTTGTATTTCACTGATAACACCTCCACACTTCACGATTCGCGACAAACACATGAGCTATTTGGAACACTCCTCACACGCAATTTGAATCAACGAATTTACAGCAACAAGGCGGCTGCAAACACCCTCATCGTAAGTATAAAGAAAGGACGCTTTATTCTAAACAAACCCTTCCATCACCGAAGGTAAGAGCGACCGGAACAAGCCTGCATTGGAAACCGCAGCCACGGAAGGAAATAAAATTATAAAATTGGAAAGTGAAAACAAGTAGTTGCCCTACACTCGCCAACTACTTTTCACGTACCTTTCTCAACGTCAACCGCCAGTGCACTGCGCGGCCGCAGCTACGTCCACAAAGACTACGAACGGTGGCGGAAGCGGCGGCGGCGTATGGCTCGCGGCTTATCAGCGCACGGGGCCCTAGGCAGCGGGGGCGTTGGAAGCACGCGGTACGAGTGCACGGCGCGCGGGAAGACTGCAATATCAGCGGCGGCGGCGGCGGCGGAGCGGCCTGCGTCTGCCAGGAGACGGCGCGTCAGCGCACAGCTCTGCCGCGCACGCGCACAAACTGCGGCGGCGGCGGCGGCGGGGGCTGCGGCGGCGGCGGGG